TATATATTGTATATGATATATAATTAAATTTAAATGATATAAACATAGTAATATAGCACACTTTTAATATGGATATTTATTAAATGAGGTTTCTACTCATATGATTTTATGATTATTTGCATATTTGTGTAACAAAACTTTACACCAATGATTTATAAATTACGTTATGATTATTTGAATTTAAGTATTTTCCATTTTATATATACACTTCCATAAATTAAAAGGAATGAAGTTATTATAGTTAATATATGCAAATCGTTATCAAATCGTATATTTTCCTTTTCTTCCATTACATGTGTGCGATATATATAAATATATAAACTATGTTACATGCGTTATATGCGTCTCTAATTATTTTTCCCTAGCAAATTTCAATTGAACCTAAAGCCACCACGTCAGTTTAATTGATATGCTAATTGATTGACAACTAAGCAAATTTACTTTTTAATTAATACAAACTTGAGGTTACATCTTTTCAAATGTTTCTCAATTAATATATATGGGATAAGATTAAATTATTTATCCCATGTGATTAACCAGAGTAAAGTACACATATGGGTCCAAATTAAAAAAATAATAATATACTTTACGTTTCTTAACAACACTTCGTAATATTCTTTATGTTTCTTAAAAAATATAATTTTAATATTTTTTCACACACTTCTTAGAATTCCAAATACAAATTATGTTCAGCTAAATATTAATTACAAAATACATTGATCTTATAAATAATATAATTTTATTTATCTCAAATACTATTGGTGAAATAGATATAAATAATATGAAATATATAAATTTCAATCATTTTTAATTTGTGTAAAAAATGTCAAAATAATAATTAAAAAAGAAGTCTAATAAGTTCAAGTAATAACCAAAAGAATGGTTCAATTTTATTTGATTGAAGCAAAAAAAAAGAAGTTGAATTGAAGTAGCTCTTTTGCTGATATTTTTAGGTTACAGTTTTTTTTTCTTTTGAACACCAGGGTTACAGTTATAACGGAAAAAATATGTTATCGGGAAAGCCATTTTAAGTCTCAAAAACATTGGAAAACCAAAAGCAATGGTTGCTAGTTGAGTCACGTTATACTGTCTTATGCTCTTTTAACAAAACAACAACAACAAAAACATTGTCAATCTCCTTGCAATAATTATTCAACTTTGTTTACATTTTGGGGGGGGGGGGGGGTGAATATGAATGAAACTTAAGTTTAATCATAACATTTAAACCCTAAAATACTTAAATTAACTCAAAGTAGAAATGTATTAAAACCAGTCAAACTCTTTTTTCTTGCATTATACCAAAGTACTAGCCTATATTTCAAACCAAATACTTGTTATTTTTTTGGACTAATACCAAATAATTTTTTTTTTTGCGAGAAGGCTTTATACTAAATATTTGTATAACCAGCAGACTCACAATCAAGTAGAAAGTGAGAGTGAAAAAAAAAGAAAACCCTATTCTAGATACTCATATCGTTTGATGATTATGAATCAAACCATGTGCACATTTCAAACTTAAGCACTTCGAAATATTCTTCTTGTAAATAAAAAACAATCAGATCAATTAGAGAACTATAAAAGTAATCATACAGTCATAACCCCCTACAAAACTATAGTCATAAAATCACCACGTTCGTTTGTGTGTAACTTAAGGCAAGTTTTTGTATCTATCAATTTTTTTTTGTATTATATTACGTAAGAAATCAATAAAAATATCTCAACTAAATTTCATTAATTATCTAAACTTTTTCACTACCCAATTTAACTATAACTAAATATATTGTTTATTTGAATATATAAAATTTTTAATTTGTGTCAATTTTAATACTTAAATTTATTTCATTTCATTAAAAAATACTAATAACTTTCAAATAAAATTTTAAAAATCTAAGAAAAATCTCTGAAAATTCTAGTTATCTTATATGTTGAAAACAATAAATAAATAAATTGTGTATAATCTCAGGTTTTCTAATAAAATTTTTAAGTTTTAAATATTGAAATTCTATGTTTTTTTTTTTGAAATAGAAAACAAACTTATTTTTATGTAAAGGTTTTAAATTTTCCCTCCAAATTATTTACCATTTTCCTAAATCTTAAAATAGAATTAGAAATTTTGATTTTCTAGATTTCAGAGATTTATTATACTTATTATTATTTTTTGTAAATTTAATATATTAAAGAACATGATTTAAAAATTTTATGTAATAAAATAAGCAAAATAATTAGTTGACAAAATAAACTGGTTAACAAAAAAGTTTAAATATTTTTTAAAAAATTAGTTAGGGTATTTTTATAAAAAATTTCCTTTATATTATTTATATATCACATTAATAATACTGGCTGAGATACTACTTCCTTATAGATGTGGTTGATCAAAAAGAAACAAAATCGAAATAACGAAGAAGAAGAAAAACATTAATGGGAAGACACATGGGTTTCAGCGTTATTTTCAAACTCCCCTTTATACCCGCGCACTATCCCATCCATCCGTTGCCCCCTCTATATTTTTATTCTTTTATTTATTCATTTTTCTTAAATTCCCAAAAACATTGAAAATGTTTTTGTTTGTAAATTATTGAAAAAAAAAATTAGACAGAGAAAATAGGGTGAGAGAGTTTAAAAGAGATGTTATATGAAGGAGAGAGAGAGAGATCAATTTTCATTTGTTTCCAAATAACAGCTAAAGACCAATGTTCATGATTCATGAATCTTGCAAAAAATAAACAAAAGTTGAATTTTCAATTATAGGAAAAAAATCTCGACTTTTTGTTGTTTTCTCTCTTTCAAATACCCTTCTAATTTTTTTTGTTTTTAATTTGAAATTCTCAACCGTTGTGAAAATCATAAACTTACGAATCCAGACGATTCCGTGAGGGTTTTAAAAGCACGAGTGTTGTCCCGAGTGATGAATATACATCTCTTTTTGCAAAGTGAATTTTAATTAAAATCATCGTTTTTTTTTAGTATTACTCTTTTGTTTTTCCTGGAAAAAAGTTTGGTTTTTTTTTATAAGAAAAAAAAGTTGGAGGGGTCATCTCTGTGGATTTTATAATAAAGGGAGAAGGAGCGTCGAAGAAAAATAACAGAGGAGAGCGTCAGAGAGAGAAAAAACAAATATTAATGGAAGAGACAACGAAGAGGACGAAGAAGAATAAGATGGTCGTTAATAACGAAGAAGATGATTCCAAAAAGAAGGAGCGTCATTTTGTTACCTGGTCTCAACAGGTCTCCCCCTTCCTCTCTCTCTCTATATAATAATAAAAACAATAATGAATCTCTGTTTCATTGCTCTGTTTAGTCTCTGAGATGGGTTTTGTCTCTGTTTCAGGAGGATGATATTCTCAGACAGCAAATCAGTTTACATGGAACACAAAAGTTAGTCTCTTTCTTACAGTTTCTTGGGCAAAAGTTTTCTGTTTTATTAATTCTGATTGTTGTTGTTGTTGGTTGGTTTCTCAGTTGGGCGATCATTGCATCCAAGTTCACTGATAAGAGCACAAGGCAGTGTAGGAGAAGGTAATCTGGTTTAATAGTCTGATCAAAATCAAAATGATTGTTTCTTGTTTTTTTTTAATCGGATCATGTCTTTGGGTTTTGCAGATGGTATACATACTTAAATTCTGATTTCAAGAGAGGTGGTTGGACCCCTGAAGAAGATACACTCTTGTGTGAGGTTAGTCATCTTTCTTTTTATTACATAGATGAAGAGATTATAGAGTTTGTGTCTGATCATGTGTATGTGTTTGGTTTTGTAGGCACAGAGACGGTTTGGGAACAGATGGACTGAGATAGCAAAAGTGGTCTCTGGCAGGTATATATATATATTTACTACAGAACATTAAAACAAGCTCGTTTTGGTGAATCAAATTATGAAAAAATGAAAGTATATATGGTAACATATTCTTTTTTTTTTGTGTGTGTAGAACTGATAATGCAGTGAAGAACAGGTTCACAACACTGTGCAAGAAGAGAGCAAAGTATGAAGCCATGGCTAAAGAGAATAGTATTGCTTCTTGTGTGAACTCAAACAACAAAAGAATCTTGCTCCCAGGTGGTATCACTACACCGTGCAAAGTCGAAAATGAATCTCCTCTTGCTAAGAAAACTAGGTGAGAAACTTGTTTTGGTTTCTCTTTTCGATTTAAATAAGAAACCTTGGAAATGTGGATTGAACGTGCTCTTTTATTTCAGGAGAAGTCACATTCCAGACCTGAAAGAGATCAGAAGCTATGGGGATAGATCACATATAAAGGTTCATTCAGGTGTGCATCAGCAGGTGAGGCCTCCTTTTACAGTACTACCTCACAATGCCACAAGTGTCGATAGCAAGGAGGACCATCAAATAGACTATGCCAAAGAGAGTGACGGTAATCAAGAGGTGTTTCTTAAGAAGGATGATCCAAAGGTAACAATCTTGATGCAACAAGCCGAGTTTCTCAGTTCATTGGCACAGAAAGTTAACTCAGACAACACTGAACAAAGCATGGAGACTGCATGGAAGGTAGTAACTATGCGGTTTTCCTGTGATTAGAAAACACTTTCCAAGAATCTGTATAAGTATAACAAAAGTGTTGTTGTTTCTTCTAATGTGCAGGTCCTGCAGGGTTTCTTGAATAGAAGCAAAGAGAATGATGATATATTCCATTATGAACTTCCGGAAATGGATTACCAACTTGATGAAGACTTGAGGATTAGTAATGAAGATAGTCAAGCATCTTGGAGGCAACCTGATCTCCATGATTCACCAGCAAGCTCTGAAAATAGCTCAGGATCAACTGTCACGGCGTACCCTTCTAAGACCCTACTACAACCAATGTCTGATACTCAGACAACACCGCAGGAGCAAAGTGGTGTGGACGTACTGCAAGATAAAGGGATTGTGTCTGATACTAATGCAGAACAAATGGGTTTACTCTCAACTTGTCATGATGTCCCTAAGAACTCTAGTGAGATTGTGCCCATGTCTGGTGATGAAGAGTTTAACTCGCCTGTTCAAGTCACTCCTTTGTTCAGATCTCTAGCAGCAGGCATCCCAAGCCCTCAATTCTCTGAAAGTGTAAGTAAGCTTGCACAGAATCATTTGAAATTCTATAGAAATGGAACTAACTGATGTGTCTTTGCAGGAGAGGAGCTTTTTGCTAAAAACACTCGGTGTGGAGTCCCCATATCCATGTCCGAGTGCTAATCCTTCACAACCACCTCCTTGCAAAAGAGTCCTTCTTGATAGTTTGTAAACCAAACCAAAAAAGCCATCCTTTAAACCGCGGTTGTGTCCTCATGGAGTTGGACATAACTTGCATTTCATCCCTCTTTTTGCTTAGATTTTTCTTCATAGGTTTTGCAGCCATATCGGCCTGAAACAGTTTTAGTGAAGCGGGCGTGCCATGATCTGCATTTTTTTCCCCTCAGTGGTCTAGAATCTATAGAATGTTAAAGGTAACATTTCTAAGTCTAGACCAATCTCAGAAACTGAGTTTCTCTCTCAGATACTCAAGCATTCAAAATCTTTGCTCACTCAGTAGGAGAGTTTCCTTTGATCATCATACTTGAAGCCATTCATAAAGACTGCTTTAAGTATGAGTGTTTCTTCAGTTTATGTTTTGTGTGTCTAAGAAAAAAAGAAAAGATTCTTTGGTTTCATTCTCCCCCTCTTTTAGGGTCAAACCCAGATACATAATCTGGGTCTTTGTCTTCCCCCTGAATTATTGATTTGTTGTGTTCGTGATTCTCTGTACAGAAGATACCTATATAGTAACAACTTCAGAGAGGCAGGTCGCCTTTCTATATACAGTAATGATTAGACAGAAGAAGAAAAGATAAGCCAAAACTTTCATCAGGTTTTGGAGAAGAAGAAGAAAAAAAGACTTTGCTTTCATCCCATTTTCTTTCTGTAGTAACTTCTCATAGGTGTGAGAAGAAGAAAACAGAAAAAATATATTTTTGTTTCCGTCTCAGAAGATTTCATGTGATTTGTAAAGAGATGATTATATAAGTGGAAATGATTTGATTTTGGTGTGAAATATATACTATTTTATATACTTACCTGCTATGCATTCTTGTTCTCCTCCTTCCATTGTTGTAGTTGCAGAAACAAAAATTCAAAAGAAGACTGTTCTTAGTTGGATCTGGATCTGCTTCTCCTTAAAATGGCAAGTGTTAAGTATAAGTGTTAGTTAGTGGAAGGTAACGTAATCATCACTTTCTACCTTTTGTTTAGTTTGAAACTTTTAACCGCTCTTATTTAGCATCAAATTATCAATGTTTTCAAGATCGAACCATACCGGTTGAACCGACCTGGTTAACAGTAAATACCAAATCAGCGATCTGTGTTAAACAGAATTCAGCAAATATCAGATTACAAAACTCAATCATCATGAATATTATTACCACTCTGCTAATCACTAGTTTACAGTTGATTATATCTGGTTTGAGATTCTTTTCATATGTTTCGGTTGACTAAACATAAACAACTAAAAGAAGAATCTAAAAACATTAATTTAGAGATATGAGGAAAGGAAACAGAGCCATACACATTTTGTGCTTTGGCTGTGTTGTCAACTCTTTTGCTTCTTCTTCTCCACTCGTTTCGACTTGCTCCACTTAAGGAAAATCTGATAAGACAAACCACCAAACACCATCGAAACACATCCCCATTGCTTCAACGACAATGGATTCCCGCTCATTACAGACGAGACAACGATGCTAACAAACTTCCTTGTTGTCGTTATGGTCGTGTTTGCTAGTGACCCGAAGTTACTTATCGTCATGAATATGAAGTTTTGTCCCACGGCACCGCATAGACAGTATTTTAGAATGTCCCATGCAGCTTCCGGGTGTTGCTTACAGAACTGATATGCTTCGTATCCCATCCCTTGTGGTAAACCAAACATGTAGACCATGTTGTATATTGTCCCCCATAAGTTCATTCCCAGCATTATGTCCCATGCTTCTGTTTTCGGGTACCTGGTGATATGATTGTTATAGATGGAAGATTGTGAGGTTTATGTTTTGATGCATCAATATATATGTAGTTCTACCTTGAGGCAATGGAGTCTTGGGTGGCGTTTGTGAATCCGTCAAAGGCTAGGTTTAAGAAGCAAAGTGCGTAGCCGAGGGGTGCATTTGGATGTGCCAGCTTGCTAATTGTCTTAGAGCTTGTCTGGAGAAAACAAAATATCAAAAGCTTACGAATATGCTGTGATCAAAGTTTCTGGATGTGCAGATTTGAATACCTTAAGAAGAGCAAATACGGCTACTCCTCCCGCGACAAGAAAGGTGCAAATGTATTCAGGGAAAGTGTATCTTATTCCGTAAACCAAAGTTCCCATCAGCATAACTGCATCATGTAAAGAAACACACACATACATAAGCTAAACAGAGAGATGCTGAAGAAGAAGAAAATATGCAAGAAAGATAATTTTGGAGATAATAATGGATTAACATTTGAAAATTATAGATAGACACCTTACCTGGAATCATTTTTGAAGATTTTGCCAGGACCTGTACAAATAAGATCAGAATTCAACCCACCACTTACTAATAAGTGGTTAAAATCCGTAATTTTGAGTATTGCTGATCAGGAGAAGAGTTACCTGAGCAGGATAACTGATATACTTCAAGGCTTCAATTCCCATGGCAGGACCAATAGTATTAGTAATGCCGGCACTCCAATACGTCCACCATGGTGCACCACCGTTACCAGTGTTTGACCAGAGCTTTATCACTGGACCAAAAATCAGATTTCATACAAAGAAATTTCAGCTCCATTTTTATGTATTCCATGATAAGAAAGATAGAGATGGTAACAAACAAATGCTCACTAATATAAGACCAGACCAAGCAGACTACACTCTGTGCCAAGTTCAAGAATGCAAGGTGCTCGAACCTCTTCTCATCTGGACCGAATCTCTTTGTGGACCTAATCAATACACAAATTTATTTTAGTCCATGGACCAAGAAACAAGTTTACTGTAGCTTTTTCAGAACTTGTAAGATTTCAGATGATTACGAGGCTCTACATCCCTAAGATGAGGTCCAGATCATGTTATAATTAACTCTCATTTGGAGAAAAGATCCCTCGAACGAGACTTGAAACCTGTGAACCAAGACTCCTACTAGATAACTTAAGAGTTTTCTCCACTACACTAAACCTCTTAGTTGATCTGTCTCAACGAATAGACTTTTTAATAGGTAATTCAAGAGTTTTAACTACTCGTTGCTATAAGATTTGTAATCAAATTCGATTATGGTGATCAATAACAAGTTTCTACACATATGCCTCTAGAAACTCCAGCCACAGATTCCGAATACAAGCGCATTAATTGCATAGGGATCAAGGACAAGATACTGCAGCTATATCTATACAAATTCAAATACGTAAGTGCAGTTGCGATCGTAATCTAAGACTAACATGATGCAAAATTAGCAACAATCTCGCAACAAACAGTCGAATCGAGCAATGACGATGGAAACAATCCAAGCGACGATGATCGATCTGCTGTAGAGAGGATTTTTTCACTCACAGAGTTTCCTGGAGAACGCCTTGGTAGATGTAGGCGGACCAGATTCCGGAGACGCACAACGCCAACAGCAGAATCCGCCGGAATCCGGAGCCGTGGACCTCCATCACCTTCACCGCCGATTATTTCTCCGGCGAAGCTTTGATTCGAATCGCGAACGGAAACGTTTGTTTTGGAACGAAATTTTATTATTGTTATTACGATGGCGCGAAAATAGACGTCGATGTTACACGTGGAGGATTAATATTGGACTGATGATTTCACTTAAGGTTTCTGATTGGGTAAGATGACGCGTAATAAACTTTTGGGGATTCAGCTTATGCAAATGGTCTCCGTGTCTGAGGTAGAAAGGGAAACTACGTACCGTTTTGTTTGCTATAAAACCACACGTTTTGTCTAGGAAATTAGCAACATGTTGGGAAGTTTGGGTGGCTGGCTGCTTTGAAGTTGACCAGAGTGGAGTTACAATCATTGGGGGCCATACATATCTTTGATTTTTTTCTTTTTTTGTCAACATACATATCTTTGATTAACTTGAAATTTTCATTACATTGAATTTTTGTAAGACGTAATTTTTCGAGGAAAGAAAAAAGGGAAAATCGTTGATGATACTGATATGTAGGTATTAGATAATGTTTGCCAAAACAAAGGTGATAAGATACTTTTGTATAAAGGAAGAGATGATATATGGTTGACAAATAAAGTATGGTTGAAAGCTTAGAATATGATAGCAACACTTAAATAGTGTTTCGTATTTTTCTAAACACTTAAATAGTGTTTCGTATTTTTCTAACAATCACAAATTTATTTTCTAATTAAGAGCTTTAATAGAACTATTCAGAGGACAAACTAAGAAACTCGATATTGATATGTATGCATCAAGTTATATATGAATACTATTAGAGAAATTTCCAAGATAAAGCTAAAAAAGTTTTTTGTCACAAATATAGATATTAAAATAAAAATGACTAAAATAAATATAAATATTTTATAAAAAAATAAACAAACTAATCTTAAATTTTTTTTGTTAGAATTGAACAGTGAGTTTTGAGAATAAAATTTCAAATTTTAAAAATAGAAAAATTAAAAATTTTACACTAAAAAATTATTATTTTAGTCATTTTACTTTTTGATCTATTTTTATGATACAAAATTTTAAAAATATATTTGAGAGATTTGTCCATACCAATAAAGTATTTGCACAATTATTATAGAATCAAAGGCGATAAGATGCTTTTGTGCGAAGGCAAAGATGATAATATTGTTGACAAGTGGAAGAAGGTTGGACGTATAAATTATGACCATAAATAATAATAATAATATGCACCCAGAAATAAGTAGACTACGTGTACGGTGTACGTACTTTTTATTCATAATGAATGGATAGCTTATGATATGGTTGACAAATAGAAGAGTTTCAAATAGTCAAAAGATTACTATTGACATACTTTCTGTCGTGTTCCTATTCACATGCTTCGTAGTTAAACTTTGTGATTGATAATTCTCATATACCAATCACTCGGTCATATACTGTACATCAAGTTGCTTTTAATGTTATACAATTACCGACAAAAAAAGAGCTAAAAACAATAGAATATCGGTTGACCTTACTCGTTATATGTTAGCAACCACATACACCTTCTAACAAACAAATAAAAGACAACTAATTTTACAACAAGTGGAAACGAAACTATTCTGAATAACCGTTTAGTCTCTTGTTTTGTACCACAAGAAGCAAAACTATTATTGAATTATGATTTGTGTTATTATACATTCAGAACTCTAGATTATTGTTCATGTTTTGACCTAAAAAAAAGATTATTGTTATTTTTCACAGTTATTTACACGTGTCAAGGTGTAATATGGACAAAAAAGGTCTTGTAGGTGTCGGTCCAAAACGTAATGTGAATAGATCTACAGAGGAATGTGTTTGGTCAATGCATGGAATAAAGTTTTGATAGCACTTGAAATTAAAATATATCTCAAAAGCGTGTTTAACCACCTCTTTTCATTAAACCTCTGAATAATTTAGTTTATCTAGAAATTCATTCGAATCTTTTACCAAAACTAATCACCAAGTGACTGAAAATCATTTTTAGATTTGATGCACATCATCTTTATTAGGGAGTTTTGCTTTTGCTTAAAGGTAAAAACATAAAGTAAAGACTTTACAATCTGACGTGGACTTGCTGACGCAAGCAACTACGCAACCGGATATTGCCCAAACTACCCCTTCTCGATATCTGTAAAGACGGCATAAACCATAGAGATTCCCGGAATCTAAGGGTACATTAGTCATTTCTCGAGAAAAGCCAAAAACCACGCCGAACAAAGCATAAGGGTCTAATCGTAATTTTCTCATCACCACCATGACTTTTGTATTGTATGGTGTGCTGTGCTTCTCTGTGTTCTTTCAGAATCTCACGTTCCTTCTCCTCCTCCTTCTCTCATTACCGATCTCAATTACTCATTTGAATCTGTTCATTGTACAGAGAAATAACAATAAAAGCTTTATCTTCCAAAAATGGGTAATTGTTTGGATTCATCAGCTAAAGTAGAAAGTAGCAGCCACACTCCTCATGCTAATTCTGGTAACTTTCTTTTTTTTCCCTTCTCCATAGCTCATAAAGTTTCTTCCTTTCCTTTTGGGTTTACTGCCAACAGTTTCATTTGATGCTTTTTTTTGTGGATTTAATTTAAAGGTTCATCAGGGTCAAGAGTATCATCTAGCAAGACAAGCCGTTCAACAATACCTTCAAGCTTAAGCATAAACTCTTACAGTAGTTTAGAGTCTTTACCCACACCGAGAACAGAAGGAGAGATCTTGTCGTCACCAAATCTCAAAGCTTTCACCTTTAGCGAGCTCAAGAGCGCTACTAGGAACTTTAGACCTGATAGTCTTCTTGGTGAAGGAGGTTTTGGTTATGTCTTTAAAGGATGGATCGATGGAACAACCTTAACCGCTTCTAAACCGGGTTCTGGTATCGTTGTAGCTGTTAAGAAGCTTAAAACTGAAGGGTTTCAAGGTCACAAAGAGTGGTTGGTAAGCAACTTTTTCTTCTCTCCTCTGTATCTTGTGTTTGATCATGTAACATGTTTTTTTAATATGTTTATTTTGTTTTCAGACTGAAGTGAACTATCTTGGTCAGCTTAGTCACCCGAATCTTGTGAAACTTGTTGGGTACTGTGTAGAGGGTGAAGACCGGTTATTAGTATATGAGTTTATGCCAAAAGGAAGCTTGGAGAATCATCTCTTTAGACGTATGTGAACCTTCTTTTTCAGACACATATTAAGGTTCTTTTAAACCGTGTTTTGTAATCAAATGATTTTTCCTTTTTGGTGTTGTAGGTGGTGCGCAGCCACTAACATGGGGTATAAGGATGAAAGTTGCAATAGGAGCAGCTAAAGGGCTTACTTTTCTTCATGACGCTAAATCTCAAGTGATTTACAGAGACTTTAAAGCTGCTAATATTCTACTAGATGCTGTAATAAAACTCTCTTCAACCTTTTTATTCGGGATATTCATTTCATTTCTAACCAAAAACTTCTTTTATTGATCTTTAATCACAGGAGTTCAACGCTAAACTTTCAGACTTCGGTTTAGCCAAAGCAGGTCCTACTGGTGACAGGACACATGTGTCTACACAAGTCATGGGTACTCATGGATATGCAGCACCGGAATATGTAGCCACAGGTGAGAAACTTTGGCCTTACCTTATAAACTTGTAGCATGTGCTTCAAAATCTTTATCTCTTCTTAACAAAAGCCATGGTTCTAAGAATAGGTCTAGTTTTTGCATTGGTGGCAAATCGGTTATAGCCTAAACGATTTTTTTAGTTCCTATTTATACCGTTTAAATCGATCAGATTTAGTAATAATGTTAGTAAAAATCCACAAATTTATCTTATTTTGTATATCTAATTTTGATAATAAATCAGAATAATTTTATAATTAAATCGAAAAACTAAAATATTATCTTAAATAATTTTTTTTTTTAACACAAATCTTAAATAAATGTAATATATATATAAAATAAATCAATAATTTGTTAAGATTAGTAGGCCTCTTGTCACTAGTCCTTTACAAAGTGCTTAAGCTCATATATTAACTTTCATGTACAGGTAGATTAACAGCTAAGAGCGATGTATACAGTTTTGGTGTGGTACTACTGGAACTACTCTCAGGACGAAGAGCAGTGGACAAATCTAAAGTGGGAGTGGAGCAGAGCCTAGTGGATTGGGCAACACCTTATCTAGGGGACAAGAGAAAGCTCTTTCGAATAATGGACACGAGATTAGGAGGCCAGTATCCTCAGAAAGGAGCATACACAGCTGCTAGTCTTGCACTGCAATGCTTAAACCCTGATGCAAAACTCAGACCTAAAATGTCTGAAGTTTTAGCCAAACTAGATCAGCTTGAATCAACAACAACTAACAAACCTGGAGGTAATAGACAAGCTCAGATTGATTCTCCAAGAGGTAGTAGTAATGGGATTGGAACCAGACAAGGTCAGATTATTTCTCCCAGAGGTAGTAATGGAAATGGAACCAGACAAGGCCTGATTGATTCTCCAAGAGGTAGCAATGGATCTGTTGTACAAAAATCTCCAAGGAGGTATAGTTATGATAGGCCTCTCTTGCATTTAACTCCAGTTGCTTCTCCTTTGCCTTCTCACAATCAATCTCCTCGTGTAAGATAGTATCACTGTGTAATAATTTTCTGTTTGTAATGTGTGCTCTACTCTGTTTGTAAAATAAGAATGCATTTGTTCACACTACATGTGATATGGTGTTTGTTCTTTCTAGGCATACAAAGCATTTTGAAAATTGTGTCTAGTTTTTTTGGTTTTAAAAGTGTTTGTTAATGTATCTATATTCTTACTAGAGTTGAAATTTTGATTTACATAATAACAACTAAAACTAAGGAAATAATTTTGCTGATACAATATAGTTATTCTTGGCTCAGCTACATCATATTTGATTTTTTTTTCTCAAGGAACTAAAATCTTTGGTTCAGTTTTACTTCAAGTCTTCAGGCTAATGAACAAACTGTAAATGATTAAAAGAAGCATCAAAAGAACTATTTACTAAAACCCTTTTTGTTTGTGTGTGAACTGAAGACAAATCATCTGAGAGTAAAACTAAAGTGAACATGACAAAGACTTACAACACCAAACCAAAGTAAAAGACACACAGAAAACATACAAACAAAACAGTTAAAAGTGATTAAAGAGGTTTCAGAGCTTTTTACAACAGTGTAAGATGATCAGGATGGACTCTTTGGATTTGCTTTCTCTATTGCCTCAAAAGAAATTCACCGTTTCCATTCAGCTTTTGCCCATTTATCTGAAATAAACATGGGAAGTCTGTGGGCTCTTGGAGATTTCATTTCAGTGTAACGGTTGAAACTTTCAAGAGGCTTGTGTATAAAAAAAAACTTTAGACTTCTTACCACCAATGTCCTTGGAAGAAGAAAAAGATATGTCACTGTTCATTGATCCTTTAGCTGAAGCTATGAGAAGCCTGTGAGCTCTTGGAGACATTGTACTCAGCTTACCGTTGGCTCCACTAGGAAGAGAATGGCGCCTTGTTATCCCATTTTTCTCAAGCTTTTCTTGACCCATCCTCGGAGACCTTTGTCCTCCTCTTACTCTTACCTTTGCAGATGCAGTTAGAGCCATGTAGTTTGGGATCTTTCTCCCGCTATGTGTAAGCTCATCGTCCTGATGAAGATTCTCAATCTTTGCAGGTAGAGAAGCCCGTCTATCAATTGTTTTGTGTTTTAAGAAACAGTGTTAGATGGTATATGTTTATAGAATTCAGCCCATGAAAGGATTTCAAAAAACATAGATCCAAGTTTCCATAGTCTCTTATCGTTTATTTGTGAAGTAAATTTGACATATGTCATCACCATAATCAGTTTCACCAAAAAATAATGAAATGTGCATTAATAATGATTACATAGACATTTACATCTAAGGTTAATTATATTTTTGGTAAGTTTTTAAAATATGGTAGTAACTCATAAATCATCACTGATACAAAAATAAATAATTTAATAGTATAAATAAAAATATAATAATATTTAAAATTTTCAAAACATTGTTCAAGACTATTTTTTTATAATTATACAATTTTTACTAATAAAAAAATTGCAAACTTTTATGCAGGTTTTAAAAAAAAAATTGTAGTTTTAAAATTTTTTAGTTTTTATAATATCTATATATTCTAAAAATATAATTCACTTTTATATTTTGATAATTATATACCTAAATTGTTTTTCTTAATTGTACATAATCCGATTTAAAGTATTTTAACCAAAAAAAGATAAAAAAAATCTTTCCAAGAATATACATGCATATATTATTATTAAATATAAACTTAAATAACATTTATTTACTTTATCTTAATTTTTATATATAGTTAAAGTAAAATTAATAATTTAAAATCAAAATTTATTTTTAAATATGCTTTAATTTTAAAACTCTTATTTAAGCACATTATGAAGGAAGAAAACACATACTTAAGTTGCAAACTAGTTTAATCCACTGCATACTAGTCTACAAAAATCCACACACAAAAAAAAAGAATTTACTTTTAATAGAGAACCATAAAATGTTATATTTCCAAATTTTCCTAGTTATTACGTCTTCTTCTTTTTTCAAACGACATATTCATCAAATTTATTCAAAAATATATATTCCATCAACGTTTGTTAATGACAAGGGTAAAATTTCCAGTTTTTTTTTTCTGTTAATATTCCTTAATGACAAATTCATAATTTACTAATTTTGCCAAGTTATTAAAAAGGCAAAGACTTTCAAGAGATTTAGAAAATTTCATTTGTTGAATTTTTAGAATTTATTCATTTTTCATAACTATTTTTTCCTATTTCTAATAAGGCTAACCATATACATATATATAAGCTTAGTTCTCTCTTGAACTTAGAAAAATAAAGTTAGCAAGAACAAGTTTTTGGTTTTGTGAAGAAAAAAATATGTTTAGTACCGTCATAATTGTTGCCAGTGTGATTGGTGGAGGCTTCTTGATCGCTCTGATCTTGTGTTGTGTTTTGATTGCATGGATTAAACAGTTTCGAGGCAACGGTGCACAACAAGTTACGGTCAATTCTCATGGTGCTGCATAACTATTTCTGTTTAACTATTGTTTTATTTTTGATTGATTTGGTATTTTTTAGATTATTAATGTAATGCTGCAATATGTATCACTAAACAGTGAAAATTTTCAGTTTATTAATTTATTTAATAAGATTATATCTCCCCTTCCAATTCTCTACTATTAGTTTGACCTTAACACGATGCCTCTCAAACTCAGCTTCCATCGCTCCTAATTGTTCTTTCACATTATATAGCTCATGCATAGTTACATGACCGAATTATAGCTCATGCATAGTTACATGACCGAATTATAGCTCATGCATAGTTACATGACCGAATTATAGCTCATGCATAGTTACAGAAACACGTTCACTTTAACATTCAGCAAGCATATAATTTTTTTTTTTAAAAAGTGGTATGATATTTCACAGAATCTAACTTCAGCAAGCATATAAGAAAGATAGGCCATGAGTGGACATATACTTTAGCCCAAACATGGAGAAATAAAATAAACAGTCACATATACAGCATCAACTGTCATGACTTACCAGAGTGTCTGATAATCAGACAATACGACAGGAGCAAAGTGGTGTGGACGTACTACAAGATAATTGTGTCTGATGCAAATGCAGAACAAACGGGCTTAACTGTCTTAACTTTTCATGATGTTCTAAAGAATACTGATGATATTGTGCCTATGTTTGGTGATGAATAGTTTAACTCGCCTGTTCAAGTCACACCTTTGTTCAGATCTCTAGCAGCAGGCATCAAAAGCCCTCAATTCTCTGAAAATGTAAGTATGCTTATACTGTATACGTAATAGTTTAGTTTTTACAGAAATATAATTTAGTTCAAATTTATGATAAAATAAAATAATATTTTTATGTTTGTATCTTGCATCAAATTTTGTAACATACAAACAAAAAGTTTAAAATGATTAGAAAGGTTTCAGAGCTTTTTGCAAAGGTGTAAGATGATCAGGATGACTCTTTGGATTGCTTTCTCTATATTGCCTCAAGATAGATTCACTGTTTCCACTCAGCTTTCGTCGACTTATCTGAAATAAACACGAGCAAAATGGGTTTAAGAGGTTTGAAACTTTCAAGAGGCGTGTGTATAAAAAAGCTTTAGACTTCTTACCACCAATGTCCTTGGAAGAATAAAAAGATCTGTCACTGTTCATTTATCCTTTAGCTGAAGCTATGAGAAGTCTGTGAGCTCTTGGAGACATTGTACTCAGCTTACCATTGGCTCCAGTAGGAAGAGAGTGGCACCTAGTTATCCCATTTTTCCTCAAGCTTCTCTTGACCCATCCTCGGAGATCCTTGCCCTCTTACTCTTGCCTTTGCAAATGCAGTTGGAGCCATGTAGTTTGGGATCTTTCTCCTGCTATGTGTAAGCCCATCGTCCTGATGAAGATTCTCAATCTTTGCAGGTAGAAAAGTTCGTCTATCAATTGGTTTTGTGTTTTCAGAAATAGTGTTAGATGGTATATGTTCATCGAGTTCAGCCCATGAAAATGATTTCAAGATACATAGATCCAAGCTTCCTTCCGATAGTCCCTTATACATCTCTTATACATTATTGGTGAAATGATTTTGACATGTGTCGTCAGTACAATTAATTTCACCAAAAAATGATGACATGACTTGAAATTAATTGTGATATGGACTTTTAAATTTAATGTTAACTATATTTTCACTACTCATAAATCATTATCAATATAACGATACATAATATAATAGCAGAAATATAAATATAATAATATTTACAATTTTTGAAATATTGTTTAAGTCTATTTTTATGATTATATAATTTTAATAATAAAAAATTTCAAAATTTTATACGAGTTTTCTAAAATGTAATTTTCTAATTCCAATAGTGATAGTTTTTTTAACATCTATAAATTTTACAAATATTATTATATTTTAGATTTCGATAGTTATATGCCTAAAAATCTCTCTTAATTTTATAGAATCTGATTTAACATATTTTAATAAAAAATAAAAAGATAATAAAAATATTTCCAAAAATATAATTTTAAATATATACATATATATTATAAAATGTAAATTTTAAGAAATTTTTTTACTTTATCTTAATTTTTGCATATAGTTAATATAAAATTAATAATGTAAAGCACAATTTAATTTTTAAAACTCTTATCTCTGTGTGTGATGCATGCAGGAAACAACTTGTTATTTGTGAAGTGAATTTTACATATGATTACATGGCTTGGAGTTAATTGTGATGTGAACATTTACATTTAATGTTAATTATATTTTCGATAAGTTTTTTAAGATATGGTAGTAACTCATAAATCATCATTAATATAAAAATATATAATATAATAGTATAAATAAAAAATATAATTATATTAACAATTTTAAAATATTGTTTAAGACTATTTTTTATAATTATAAAAATTTTATTAAAAATATACATCAAAATATTATGCGGCTTAATAAAAAAAATATAATTTTCTAATCCCAATACCATTAGTTTATTTATAACATCTATAAATTTCTGAAATATTATTCATTTTTTTATTTTGATAATTGTATACCTAAAAAAATTCTTTAACTTTTTAGAATCCGATTTAACAATTTTAACCAAAAGAAAAAGATACAAAAATCTTTCCAAAAAAAATATATATATATATATATATGTATATATTATTATTAAATATAATTTTTTAAAAAGTTATTTATTTTATCTTAGTTTTTATATATAGTTAACATAAAATTAATAATGTAAAATTTTATTTTATTTTAAAACTCTTATTTCTGCATATGATGCAAGAAAACACCTAGTTATAATTTATAAGACTTGAGTTGCAAATTAGTTTAATCCACTGCATACTAATCTACAAGAATCCACGAAACAATTACATGGGAAGACACTTTTTGTGTTTGTAATATCATAAAAAGACACATCATACTACTCACACACTTTCTGTGTGTTATTTCTCCGTAATACCCTTCCTCTTCACTTTTATTTACACTTACGAATCTAAAGTTATATATTTTTAATTTTATTTTATTTTAATATTTCACACACATAAATCACTTTACCAATTTGTCTTCCAATCGAAAGATGCATTCTCCTTCCTTTATATCCCGTTTTCAAAACCCTAATACAGATTTACCAGATTTTGAATCACACACATAAATCACTTTGCAGCTGTTACAAGATTTTCCCATTTGATTTCCAAGCATCTATACTAACAATTCAAGAACTCTGTAGCTGATAATTCATCTCTTTTTTCTCTCTCTTTCTTATCTGATTTTGAAATTTGATTTATTTGAAATCTTTGCTTAGTTTATGTTATTTTTTATCTCTCAGCAGTGGAGATGGAGGGAGAGGAGGAAGTGGTTGCGGTGGAGGTGGAAGGGGAGGAAGAGGTGATGGTTGCAGTGGAGGTGGTAGCGATTACAGTGGAGGTGTTGGTTCTGATGGAGGTTACGGTGGAGGTGGTAGCGGTTGCGATGGAGGAAGTGACGGTTGTGGTAGAGGTAGTGGTGGTTGTGAAGAAGGCTCTGATTACGAGAAGGTGGTGGTCGTGGATACGTGGTGATGGATACATTGAAGAGGTGGTGTTGACGGTGGATGTCGTAGTGGAGGAGGTAGTAGTTATGAAGAAGGTTGTGGTTATGCGGAAAGTGGATACGTGGTAGAGGTAGTGGTGATGGTGCATGCCGTAGTGGAAGAGGTGGTGATTGTGAAGAAGGCTGTAGTTACGGAGAAGGCGGTGGCGGATACTGTAGTGGTCGTGGTCATTGTCATGTCCATAATTTCCTTGTCCATGTTGTCACCGTCCACATATTATTGTCTACATCACTCTTGATCACAAATACTTTATTTCGTTAAAGAAAAAAATATTACTTATCTTTAAGATAAATATAATTGTTTAATTTCTTTTTCTTTAAGAAAACATACATGTTTGTTTCTTTAGTAAAATAACTCTTAATAAAAAACAGAGCTAAGGTCATTTTCGTCAACAACAGTAGTATCTTTACACATAAAGTGTGTTAAATGGAGAAAGTGTCTTTGTATGTAAGTAAAAGAACCATAAAATGGTTATATTTCCAAAGCATATAAGAAAGATATAGACCATAAGCATCACAAGGGCAACCACTTGATTCAGTTTTACTTCAGATAAGTTTCAGTTTAGCTTATGAGTATACAGTTTACCTTTTTCTTGTTTTACAATGAAAAAGGCCAAGTTAATGAATAAACTGTAAATGATTAAGAGAAACATTAATAAGAAGTACTCCCTCCGTTCCATATATATTCTAGAAAAAAAATTATTTATTAAAGATCTATTTTTTACATTGTCAATGTATGTTGTAAACTTCAAAAAACTTAAGAAAACTTAAAAAATTTAATTACACTAATTAATTTTTTATTAATTTAAAATTATGGAAATAAGATAAATACAAAAAAGTATACAAATTTATTATATTTTATTAAAAAGAGTAAAAAAACTAGAATATGGTCATTTTAGGAAAAGATTGAGTATTTACTAGAAACCTTTTTTTTTGTTTGTGAAGACAAAGCACTTATAGAAAATCTAAAGGAACCATGTCAAAGACTCACCACACCAAACCAAAGTAAACACACACACAGAAAACATACAAAGAAAACAGTTAAAAATTATTTAAAAAGGTTTCAGAGCTTCTTTCAACTGTGTAAGATGACTCTTTGGATTTGCTTTCTCTATTGCCTCAAAAGTAATTCACCGTTTCCACTCAGCTTTCGTCGATTTATCTGAAACGAACATGAGCAAAAAATGGGTTTAAGAGGTTTGAAACATTCAAGAGACTTTGTGTACAAAAAAAGCTTTAGAATCCTTACCACCAATGTCCTTGGAAGAAGAAAAAGATCTGTCACTGTTCATTGATCCTTTAGCTGAAGCAATGAGAAGTCTGTGAGCTCTTGGAGACATTGTACTCAGCTTACCATTGGCTCCAGTAGGAAGAGAGTGGCGCCTTGTTATCCCATTTTTCTCTTGACCAAACCTCGGAGAACCTTGTCCTCTTACTCTTGCCTTTGCAGATGCAGTTGGAGCCATGTAGCTTGGGATCTTTCTCCCGCTATGCGTTACCCCATCTTCTTGATGATGATTCTCAATTTTTGCAGGCAGTGAAGCTCTTCTATCGCTTGGCTTTGTGTTTTCAGAAGCAGTGTTACCATTCTCAGAGCTTATCTGCACATCTGGCTCTTGAATCTCTTCTTCATCTTTGTCATTTTTCTCTGAGATGTCGACTTCATCTTGCACTGGAGTATCAAGAACCGGTGAATTCTCATCTTTATCAAAATCAGCCTCTTTTAAAACTGCTTCAGGAGCTGAAACCTTGTCACCAGGCAACTCTTTCTGCACTGAATCTGCAATCTCTGTCACCTTTTCTTCTACAGGAGCTGAAACCTTGTCACCAGGCAACTCTTTCTGCACTGTTTCTGCAATCTCTTTCTTCTTCTCAGCAGATTTGCGTGCAGGTTTCTCTAGCCCATTGGAAAGTGAAGCCTTTCTGAGACTAACTCTAGGCTTCTCGTCCTTAACCTCCAATGACGACCCTTCCTTTACACCGCTTGTACTTTTTCTCGAGTTCTGCTTATTAGACTTATCATTCTCGATTCTTGAAACCTCTTTACCAAGCGTAGAAGCCTTCTTCACATTTGTCTTAGGCTTGTCGTTTTCAGCTGTAGAACGGCCACTAGAGCTAGACTTTAAACCACCGGGTGGTTTCTTGATACCTTTCTTAAGTTTTCCCTTGTCTGCTTCAACTGCTTGAAAACTTCGCTTCTTTGTCTGAGATTTCGCAATCTTAACCACCAGTGGACGAGGAGTCCAAACCTGCAATTGTGTCCAGCGCTCAAGCCACAATTTGGCTGAGTTAGGATCCTCAGAACCATACTGAATCTTCAGAGGTAATGCAGTTGGTGACGAAACTAGAAGCTGAAAAAAAGTCAAGGAAGCAAATAAGCAAGAGAGCGTCACAGAACTGCATAGCAAATTGTTGATGTTACCTTATCAATCATGGAGAGCTTTGTGGGATTCTCAAGCCATTTGTATGTGCTTCCTCGCAAAGTTTCAGAACTCTCAGTTTCCTAACAAACAAAAGAAGTTACAACTTTGAAAGCAAAGTCAAGTAAAGCTATTAGAGTAGAACTTATAAACTAGCAGACATTTAAATACCGGTTTTGTTCTCTGGAGTTGAGCCCCGGTCTCTGAAGATCTAGCTTTCTTCCCACGAACAAGAGCTTGTAACTTCACAACCCCCCAAATGCACGAGTATGTAGCAACAACTTGTCTTCTAACCAAGTGACCACGGATAACTGCTTGTAGCTTTATGATACCTTTAAGCTTTTGAAACTCTTCACGTGCCTTTGGAAAAAACAAAAAGAGTATCAGCAGAATAAGAAACGAAATCTCAATACTAAAATGTAGAAAAAGAATTCAACCTGATGAGATCTGACAGCAGCTTGAACCTTTGTAGCAGCTTCTTCAAGCTTGAGCTCTTCTGTGTCATTCCCTGACTCAAGATTCGCATTTGGCTCTTCGTTTGTCTGCTTCTCGGGGACTACAACATCTGGGACTGTTACAGCTTGTGTAGCTGCAACTTCTTGTGATGAAACTAGTACCGGAGGATTGGTAGGTAAGTCTGAGACATTATTATCCTTCACCTTCACCACAAGCTCTTCTTTCTTTGCAGATCTCTATCACATATGGACATTGTTTACAGTTACTTTCTATTGTTATGTTTTTCTGACAAAAAGCAAAAAACAAGAATATCTTTCTTCAATATTCTTACCAATTTCTCGGTTCCTTTGTCCAAACTTGACTTTGATGACTTCTTCCCAAGAAGAGACTTAATCCATTTACCAGGACTTGGAGTCTTTCCCATCTTTCAACAGCAACAAATAGAACGTTGCTACAGAAACAGAAACCTTCATAAGTAATAACACATTTGGTCAAAAAACAAAACAAAGTCTACGAATTTCAAGTAATACAGAGCACATCTACAGTCACAAATAGTATCACCAGTTTAAATCGGAAGATGAAACACATTCCATATATAGAAATCACAAATCTGTAAATAGAAACCCTAGAAACAAACACAAGACATGAACCAGATAGAGAGAGAATAAGCCTAAGAGATGGAAACAAGACATAGACTGTGCAGTCAGTAAAGATAAAAGTGAAAAAAAGGTAACACACTTAGACCCATTAAGATTAAAGTGAAAAAAGCAGAGATTTTGACAACACGAAGATGAAGTAGTCAGATCTCGAGTAGATATCAAAAGCAGTAAACTTTCTAAAAATGGGTTGAAAGAAAAGAAAATTTCAAAAATGTTAACCTCAAATAGAAACCCCAGTGTAGCTGAATAGAGACGAAGAGAAACCGAACAGTCTCTTACTTGAAATTGTTGTCTTCTTTCTTTGGCTCCTCGCCGGAGTTTTGCCCTAAAATAAACAAAAGTGGTTACAGTGAGAATTACACTCCCACCGTTTGTAATGTGAGAGAGAGAGAGCGAAAAGTAAGAGGAGCGACAAAAGGAGAGAGAGACCCTAAACGACAGCGTTTTAGATGTGTTTTTTTTCTTTTTTACATAATGGGCCTAGTTAATGGGCTATAGATGGCATGAGTCTTATTAAGGGTTAATTGAATTTACTGAAATAACCTTTCTTTTGTCTGACATTTTTTTTTTTTTTAAAGTTGAGAATTAAGGCTGTCATTATCGAAAGTGGTTAATCCGCTGCTTCCTGACGTTAAATGTTTATTAACTACGTGTCTTTTGTTCCTTGAGTGTTTCAATTTACAGTACTAGTTAATACCACCAAACCTTATCACTTTAGCTCAGATGAAACTGTAATATATAACATAAAATACATATGATGGTTATACATATCATCCGAGTTCAAATCTGATGAAATACATTATTGCAAAAATAGATCTCAACACTTTCAAAGAAAAGACACAAACGTAATGGCTTCGCTTTCTCGAGAAACAAAAACGACATACAATTCTTAATCTCATTCTCAACTACAAGTGACCTTTTCTTTTTGAACACTCAACGACAAGTGACCACCAAACATCTCTAATCAGAGAAATTATACATAGGTTCTAATCAAAAAGTGTAATCATCGATGATTCGAACAAAATCACGTGTTGCATTATTTAAAAGGTCCCTTATTAAAAGGGAAATTGACAAAATACCCCTCAATTTTCAAAAATAAGCCCAAAAAATCTCTTACTCACAGATAGGGGGGGGAAATGGTTATTTAATTCCTCAAGTATTTGAAATTAACAGATAAATTCCCTAACTATCACATATGCAAATTAATTCCCCAAATCTGCATTGACTTCGCAAAATTGAACTCTTGAAAAGTCCACATCCAAGGTTTAACGGAAAACGTTAGTCTAATATAGTGGGCCTCTTTTAATCTCGTCTTCTTCTTGCCATTTCTTTTAATCTGAAAATAAATAAACCCCAAGTTGATTCTCACGACGATTGCAGAGGTAATTCCCCGTGAATCATTCTTAAAAAAACAAGAATTCGAATTATTCGAGCATGACGAACAAAAACATTGCTCAGAAACGAATTTACCCATAGAGATGATGATGTAAAACTTCATTTTGTGTGTTTCTGGTCTAATTATTATGATTTATCTAAATGCTCACAACTTTCTATTCAATTAGTTAACAATGAAGAACTTGCTTCCGTAGGTTCGTAGAAATCTGATCAAAGAAAGGCCGGAAATGTTCATCAAGGGAGATGCGTATGTTTGCTTCTCTTCTCTCATTAGCTCACTTTTTGAAGGTAAGATGATGTTGTTAACATGAAATTCGATTCTTGGGCAAGAGACATGGTGTTCTTGTTTAGTGAATGACTGTGATTGAGAGCTAAGCGGTCAGCTCGAGACCACAATTGAGAGTAAGATGTTATCGTTTTCATCTCGAGCTTGCACAAAGTAGATCATTACTTGAAGAATAATTGTAGATGTCTTGTTAATAGGAATTCAAACCTGATTAATGTATCAATCTCTGTAATTTCACACAGAGCTAATACAATATTTGTTTCCCTGAGGAAATCAGAAAAAAAAATATATAAGAAAAACATCTCATGATACCAGTTGGTTTGAGTCTGGTGAGGAAAGCAATACATAATAATTTGTTTACACATATTTGCTTAAATTAAAACATATATTTAAGTAACCAGCATAGACATCATTGCAGCTGCAGAGTTAGGTCCATCAATGTTAACACTCGATATGAAAACTTCAGGCGAGACTTATTGCACAAACTCGTTGGGATTCTCTAAGGAAGCTGGTTTGAAAATGTGTATCAGTTAGCTATATTTTCAACATGAAAGCATCCACAAGGGTACAACGTAAACGTGGCTCTCCTCTGCCTTCACTGTGAACCACTGCATATCGATATCGTCCATAGAGAAACCCAAGCATTCAAGGAGTTTTAATTTTGACAGATTGATGTAGATCTTCTGACATAGCTTACATAGATACATGCAACCTCCAAGAACAACTTGTCCTTTCCTTTCTACAGAGAAGAATTCAGATTCATCATTAAGTTTGTGTCAACAAAATATAGATTCTTTCCAAAAAAATATATGGATCCAGAAAGAGAAGAAAGAACTTATTATCTATGGTGTATCTTCTCTCCAACTGTTTTCTGAATCAATTTAGGGTTTATGTTTGCTTGAGTTGGGGAAGAAGAACACATAAAAGTTAAAATAATATGACTAGAAGAGGACGAAATTAGAGTTAACGTTTTTCCCCACCGTTCAACGTGGACTTTTAAGAGTTTAATTTTGTAAAGTCAATATAGATTTGGGGAATTATTTTGCATACATGATAGTTCAGGAATTTATCTGTCAATTTAAATAACTTGGGGAATTAAATGACCATTTTCCCCAGATAGGGGTGTCAAAATGGGTCATGACCCATGGGTTGACCCAACCCAAATTGACCCATTAACCCAAATGAACTGTTTATTTTTGATCCAATGGGTTAATGGGTTAACAAGTTAATGAGTTAACAGGTTAATGGGTTAACAAGTTAATGGGTTAACAAGTTAATGGGTCTATTGGGTTGGGTCAACCCTCACCCATTTAGTTTTTAAGTAAAATCAAAAATTAAAAACAAACCCATTAACTCCAAATTAAATTTATCCAATTAGTTTTCCCGTCAAAACCATAAAATCACGTTTTCCCGCCAAATCCAAAAATTACGTTTTCCCGTCAAAACCGTAAAATTACGTTTTCCCGCCAAAATCGCAAATTATGTTTTCCGGTCAAAATCATAAAATCACGTTTTCCCGCCAAAACCGCAAAATCACGTTTTCTCGCCAAAACCGCAAAATCACATTTTCCCGCCAAAATCACAAAATCACGTTTTCCCGCCAACACCGCAAAATCACGTTTTCCCGCCAAAACCGCAAAATCACGTTTCCCGCCAAAATCACAAAATCACGTTTTCCCGCCAAAACCTCAAAATCATGTTTTTCCGCCAAAACCGCAAAATGACGTTTTCCCGCCAAAATCACAAAATCACGTTTTCTCGCCAAAACCGCAAAATCACATTTTCCCGCCAAAACTGCAAAACCACGTTTTCCCAACAAAACTGCAAAACCACGTTTTCCCGCCAAAACCGCCAAATCACGTTTTCCCGCCAAAACCGCAAAATCACGTTTCCTGCCAAAACCGAAAAATCACGTTTTCTCGCCAAAACCGCAAAATTATTCCCGCCAAAAACGCAAAATCATGTTTTTCCGCCAAAATCACAAAATCACGTTTTTCCGCCAAAAAGGCAAAATCACGTTTTTCCGCCAAAATCACAAAATCACCTTTTCCCGCCAAAACCGCAAAATTACGTTTTCCCGCCAAAACCGAAAATCACGTTTTCCCGCCAAAACCGCAAAATCACATTTTCCCGCCAAAACCGCCAAATCACGTTTTCCCGCCAAAACCGAAAAATCACGTTTTCTCGCCAAAACCGCAAAATTACGTTTTCGCGCCAAAAACGCAAAATCACGTTTTCCCGCCAAAATCATAAAATCACGTTTTTCCGCCAAAAACGCAAAATCAAGTTTTCCCGCCAAAAACGCAAAATCAAGTTTTCCCGCCAAAACCGCAAAATCACGTTTTCCCGCCAAAACCGCAAAATCACATTTTCCCGCCAAAACCAAAAATCATGTTTTTCCGCAAATTAGTTAAATCATGTTTTTTCGCCAGAACCGCTTTATCATTTCTCACTAAAATCGCAATATTTTTCCCGTCAAAATCGCAAAATCATGTTTTTCTGCCACCTAAAATTATTTTTAACATTATTTATATTAATTGGGTTCCGCAAAAAGCTCATTTAAAATGGTCCATTTTGGGTTTGGACAAAGATGTTGGGTTGATGGGTCAACCATTAACCCATATGACCTATATAATTTAATGGATAATGGGTCAACCCAACCTATTTATTAAATGGGTTGGGTTGACCCATGACCCATTAATAATCAACTCATTTGGGTTTTGGGTTGGGTTGACCCATTTGACCCATTTTGACACCCCTGCTCACAGACACGCCATTTTAACCTTTAATTTGTAGTCAAACACGAATAAATCTCATACTTTCATTCACCAAGCGATTTTAATTTCGTCAAAATTCAACCGTTTAGTTCCGTTAGTTATATTTAATGGTTGAATTTTAATGAACCTAAAATGGCTTGGTCAACGAAAGTATGCGATTTTTTATTTTAATTTAAAAGTTGAAGATTAAAATTATTCACTTAAAAATATCTTAACTAAACATTGCTATTTTTTTTTTTGTCAACAAAAATTGTAATTTTTCATATTGATTAGAATGACTAACTTAATAAATATGTTCAAATAAGCTTAAATATAATATATTTGAAGCTTAAATATAATATTTTAAATGACTTCAAAATAATAAATTGTTTAGTAGAAAACTTGATTAAAATACAATTATACTGTAAATTCAGATATAAAATAAAATAATTAAGTTCTTATGTTCAAAACAATTTTAAGAATAAAAACATAAAAGTTAAAGATAAAATCATAAACACATTGTTGTTAGAAGAAGTATAATCACATATATTCAATAGAGGATGAAACAAGTGAAAAAGAGAAAGTCAAGTGCGTGAAAGAGATTTCTCGCAGTTGATGTATATAAAATTTTTTTGTTTTTAATTAATTGCTAAATATTATATCTAAACTTATCTGAACATATATTTTTAAGTTAGTGATTACAATCGATATGAAAAATTACATTTTTTCTGTAAGGAAAAAAATTAAATTTTGGTTAAGATATTTTTAAGTAAGCAATTTTAATCTTCAAATTTTAAATTAGGATAAAAAATCTCATATTTTCGTTGACCAAACCATTTTAGGCTCATTAAAAGTCAACCATTAAATATAACTAACGAAACTAGACGGTTGAATTTTGACGAGAGTAAAATGACTTAAGCCCTATTCATTTATCAAACGCCGCGATCAACACTAGCGTCTGAAATTTGTTTGTAATTTTCTTCTGCACTGGTAGTCGGTGAAGAAAAACAAAGAACATGTGTCGGAGTAATCGACGGAATCAGGTGATGTTTGTGATGCGGAAATAACTAGCGTCACTGTTTATCTTTTCTCTCTCTTCCATACAACTGAAAAACACGGAAGAGTTGATCGCTGCGTCTACTAAATACGGAACTCTTCTCTAATTCTCCCTTTAAATATCAGATGCTAGTGTGATCGCGGTGTTGACAGTTGACTAAACGAACATGGCTTTAGCCAACAAAAGTATGAAAATTATTCGTGTTTGACTAGAAATTAAAAGTTAAAATGGTTTGTTGTTGAGTTGGAGATTTTTTGGCTTAAGAAATTATTTTCTTAAGTTGATGGTTATTTTGTCAATTTTCCCCTTATTAAAACAAAGAACATGATGAATTAGTTGAGTTAGTTCACGAAAATCAACAAAAGAAAAACTACTAATGGTGTTATAAGTAAGTGTCTCCTTGGGATCCGGTTTAACTGTGAATTGTATTCACTAACAAAACAAACATTTGATTCATTGTCAATCCTTTTGACGTTTTGCTAAGTCTTCTGACTTCATAATTACATATTTACCGGTTAAACAAAACTATAAGTTATCAACAAGTTGAGCTATACTAAACCAATAAATACTATCTAAATCTGAAGAAATTTGATTATACAATACGGAGAATACACAAATATATAATGTGAACTAGAAGTTAACAAGGGAAAATAAAAATTATAGATGGTCATGTTCTTCAATGCATTAAAAGTTAATAAACGAAAAAATAATGTCTTAGCCATGTTCGTCTAATGCATTAGAATCAGTCTGTCGAGCTGAGGCTGTGTAATTAACAAATAAACTAAAAAATAAACAAAGTCATTACCAGATTAAAGTAGACGAGTAGTCAAAGACTATTATTAGTATGTCCAAAACTTGAATTGAGTTTTTTCATTAACAGAATCTTATAACGTGTGTCGCAAACAATAAGATCTACAGTGATTGGTTTGCTACCTTGCCGCATTTTCTCCTTGGAAAAACTGGAAGAAGACTAACGACTTTGATGCAGCATCTTTGTTCTGTGAACATATAAAACTAAAACAAACATAACATGAACATGAATATAAGAAAATTTCTAGGATTTGTTTTAGGTTAATCTTTTTTTGCAGCTGGAGAATGGTATGAGAGATGATATACATAAGTATAGAGGAGAGCTTGGCAGATCCATCTGTTAAGAGGATCATATGCTTACAAGTCGCTTAGGACAACAGTGGAATTTGCTATCAACCGTCTTTGTCAAGATCAAACCAAGTGACCATCGATTAAATATGTGTATGGAATGGAAGCTGCAGTACACGATTCAATTGCAGCCAATGATGGACAGACAGTGGGAACAATGAAGCATCCATTAAGGCAATATATGAACGAAAGATCCTCATCAAAAATTGATCATAAAGAGAGAAACTGTAGAAACAATAATGCAATATATGAATGTAGAGACTAAAGTCAATAACTCAATACTCAATACGATGTCAAAAAAAAAAAAAAAACTCAATACTATGTAGTTTCATGGATTGTGTATGAAATAACTTACATAGAAGAATCCTAGCTAACGTAGTAACCTTTTTTTAAAAAAAAAAAGCAACAGAAGAGCTGCGAGAATGATGGAATTGAAATAATGATAATCATTAATCATGAAGAGGAATGTGGTTAAGGCACAGAGTTTGACAACAAACACAAAAACAGGAAAGAAAAAGAGAAAAAGGCAAGTGTTTGTGGAAACAAACAGAGGAGAGGAGGTTCAATGTTTATGAAGACAAATGCTACAACAAGGATTATTATTTACTAGTCAGCAGTCCAGCTTTGTTCCACAACCTCGCGGACTCTTCTGTTGTACTCACGTTTGCTTTCGCTGAACATTCGCGCAGCTTCGGAATTCGCAGGAGAATTCGGATTAGGATCACAGAGCAATGACTGTGATTACAGAATAAAAGAGAGATCGTTCAGCCATTGTGATCATATCAAACAACACCAACGCTTTAAAATGAAAGATCAAAAGATCCATGTAAATAGATATGAGAAGCATGTCTACATATATAAGTTTTACCTGGATAGAGGTAAGTATAGCAGCGACATCATAGATAGGACTCCACTGGTTTTGGAGAATGTCCAAGCATATACTCCCATCAGCATAAACTACACACCACAATGACCAAGTATGAGTCTCCTGGATATCAAATTCCCTCATAATATCTTCAACTTACTATTTGGATGGAACATCCGCGAAACAAACCGAACCGTTGGTGGTTTATTCGGATAATCTTCAGAAAACTGCAGCGAGAGTTTAAAAGTACCTGACAAAATCATACAAAAGACATATACAGTACTAAAGATTGCCAAAAAAAACTCAAGATAAGTGACTACTACAATAACAAAAAACCTTACCTCCATCCCATGGGGTATCATCAGGCCTGCAAACCCCCACAAACAGAAGATGTAATAATAAGTACAGTGAAAGACATCAAATATTTACATTACCCGAAAATAACAGCGTTCCAGAGCATAATGTTGTTATCTTGAGGAGCATAATGTTGTTATCTTGAAATCCCTCATCAATCTCTTCCTCGCTGGTGTCGACATCCTTCTCTCCTCCTCTATCAAGATTCAAAGCAACCAAGCTAAGATTATCAAAAACCAACTCAAAAAAATCAGAACTTTCAATCAGATTCAACAACCATTTACCTAAGCATATTCGAATCAACTAGTTTTGTTTATATATAACCAATGATCATCATAATCAACATACATAGCTTTAGAATCACATCAACTTCAAAATCGAATAAAGTTTATCTCTTTTCTATACCCTTTAACCTAATGAAGCGCTTAAAGATCGGATCTAAAGAGATCTTTACTGTTGAGCGAAAGGGGTAAAGATGGAGGGTGGAGATTCTTCGTTGTCAAGCGAGCATCTTTCCTTGCGGCGAGGAAAAGGTCGGAACTTTAAGAGACGATGATAACCACCGGCGATGAGAGGTGAAGTCTCCGATCGATCAGTTGAGAAAATGATGTGGAGCTTCGTATAACGCACGCATTGGTGAGCTTCTAGAAGCTTCGATTTAAACAATACAGCCAGACTCAGATATTTGCTCAGGCGATGATGCAAGAGGACAACAGTTTATTTATTGTTTATAAAAATAAAATAAAATAAGAGGACAACTGTTAACCGGGAATAAACCGTTAAAATGGAACTTGTCATTGAATATCCGATTTAAACCAGACATGAACCGAGAGTAACTTCTTCTTGTGTTGATCCTTTGATTTGATGCGTCTTTTTTCTTTCTTTTTTTTTCTTCATTTGATCCTTTGATCTGTCTTGGTGGTGATCACTTTTACCTCTCTAGATGAAAATCTTGAAAAAGGACTTTCAAGTTTTTAGTTCGATGCAAGAAGAAAAATTGATTTAAACCTGGTCTAGTATAGAGCTTGGTTGTATAGTTGATCTTTTGGGGTTGCTTTGGGAGATGAAGGCTAGGTGCATGTCATGGATCCAATGCTTGGAGAGGAAGTAGCAATGGAGCTAGCCGAGTTAGAGCCAGAGAATCCAGCTCCACTTGTGATTTTTTCCAGCATTTATTCTGTGCATTAGAATGATGAAAAAAATGTGGAAAGTATCAGGCATGTGATAGATGAGAAGCAATGTTAGTTTGTCTGGTTAAGTATATGGACTGGTAATGAGAATCAAGAAAGTGGAGCATGAGAGATGCAGTCAGGCCGGTCATCAAAATGTGGAGACATTGAGCAATTTATTTGAAATTTTAATAAATTTATTTTAAACAATTTGTGAGTCTATGTTCATATGTATAAATTTTTTTTTATAAAAATTAAGTGGACAAGGCTAATGTTTCACTTGGTTATGTGGTGTTGACCTTGACAAAGCATTTGGGCCATTTCAGAAGCTAATTCTGTGGGTGCTTCTTCCGTCAGTTGTTGCTAACTCTTGTATCAGACATTGGATATGTATGATCTGTAAGGGAATTCAACTATACAGTGTTTTGCCCATGTTATTGGTCAGAACGCTGAGAAGCGCTTGTCTTAGCGGGAGCGGCTTAAGAAGACGGATGATAAGCTGCACTTGCACAAGGATGGGAGTCCATGACAATGTACAAATATGGCATTGAGTATATTAACTAGTTTCAAGAGTTGTTCTCTTTTTTTTTTTAATTTTTTTATGGTAGTACGTATAGTTAAAGTTTCAGATTTATGGAACAGGTGGGTATAGCTATTGAGGATCTGGCTAATACTGGAGATGATTTTGAGGCAATGCATTGCATATTTGGTGGTATGACGTCTTCACATGTTTCAGGGTTTTGAAAGAAAGGAATATAAAGGTAAGTGAAGACTGATTAAAACTGAACCAAATATATCTTGAAGATATAATAGATGTAGTCTAGGACGATACTGAGATGTGGAGTGTGATTAATTATGTATTGGTGTTTAAACTAATGTCCTTGCATGTGGGGCAAGAAAAAGGATTGAAACGGAAAAAAAAAAAAATAATGAAGCCTAATAATTAACCGTACTGCATTATGCACAATTCGTTACAAAGCACCGTCCACAACAAATACACTTCTTTGATACCATCACAACAAGGAAATACATAAGAATGACACATGGAGTTTATTATCAGCAGGACTTGCCTGGTTTACAATAAAGTGTACCAGCATCTTTGGTAAGGGTTCTTACCTTTGTTCCTGGCTGAGGACGGATCGTAAACTCTTTAGGGAGTGGGTTTATCGGTTTAGAGCTCCATGCATTTGATTTTCCTGATTGCACAAAGTAAGCTCCATTCAAGAAGTAATCTCTCTCTGATTGCCAGTTCCATGACTTCCACTGTGTATACGGTGTGTACTCTCTCTTTGTAACCTGCAGTTTTTACAAAAATAATCTCTCTCAATTGTGTCTCAAGCATAATTTAATACTAATATTTATATATATATATACACATAGATGTATTTTGAGAACTTTTTGTTGTAAAACTCCATTGGGTTAAGAGTTCTATTTAATAGGTTAACTTTCGTTGATGTGTAGTGTTTTATTTTACCTGCTTGCAATCTTCTGTAGGAGGAGCAATGAAGCGATTGCCTTGACTTATAATGGTAGGGTTCATGTTTCCACCAATGGCATACATTGTCCAGTGAGTGTAGTCATTGTTCACAACATGGACCATACCGTATCTCACCCTTGGCATTCTTTGATTCAATCTCTTACCAAAATGGTTAAAGGCAACCGTTATCTGCATTTTCTTGTCGAACGAGTCTTCGTTTTTAGCCCCAAACAACATCACCTGCGTTTAATGCATAATATATTATTATGTTATGAAATGTTGATTAACATTTCGAAAATGTGTATTTGGTTTGGTTTTGTGCTTAGCCTTACCTCCTCATGGTCGGTGAAATGGCAATTGGAGATAGTAATGGCGGTTGATCCCATGATGGCATCGATCAAACCATCAGAACAGTTCCTCATGGAGACATGATCGATCCATACGTTTTGAGCTCCAAAGATATTGATACCATCACCATCACTAATTGTTCTAAGCCCAAAATGTTGTTCAGAGTCTCTAATCAACCCACCAAGTCCTCTTTTAATAAACTTTATGTGAATATTGTGTATGATCACATTCTTCACGTACTGTAACGTGAATCCACACCCTCCGGTTATATAAACACTCACTCCTCGACCGTCGATGGTTTTATCGTTATTTATCATCAGTTCTTGTTGTAGTTTTATGACCATGGTTCTAGCGAATATGATCCAAAGTGGTCCGTCGCGAGTCACGGCGTGTCTTAGAGTACCTGGCTTGGGGCTAAGTAGATCGTCGTCGGATGCGTCGGTGACTACGTAGATGGGCCCGTTTTTGCCTCCGGTTGTTTTCATACCAAACCCTAGGACGCAGTCCGCTAGCTTCTTCCTGTTCTTCGCCCAGTTTTTGTCTCCTCTCCAGCATTTATCAATCGCGTTGAGGGATCTAAACCTTCCTCCACGTGCTTTCTGACCGCCTCTAACTTGTCCGAGCTCTCTCCTTGTACCGTTGTCGGTACCAGTGGTCTCCATTGCTCTGAGCAAGAATAAAAAAAGAACAGAAAACATTGATGTTAATTAGGTTTAAATTTTTGGAAATTATTATACATAGATTATTACATGGCTGCCAAATTGTCGAAATTTCTTTTTATTAAAAATAAAATTTTGTAACCACCTAAATCTCATTTCCGACCATGTACATTGTACACGGTGGTATGAATCTAAGGCTTTAATGAGTTTACGCATTTTGTATTAAATCCGAAATCATCCGTGACATCACGCAAGGGTAACTATCAAGTATAATTGTGTAAGAAGTTTGGCTAAAATGGAATATTTAACGAGGTATGCTTTTAAGAACGTACAATGCTGCATGGTAGTTAAAGTGGTTCGTGACGTTCGACGGGTTGGGGTCATATGATTCCATAGTTTGTCTCAACGCGTTGGCTTGACGCTGGGTCCAGTATTCATCGAAGACCGCGACGTGGGCTTGAACCGATGGAGCTACGATGGCTAGGGACAACGAGATTAAGATGATAACGTAGCTCCCAAGGTTCGAATAAGCAACCGCCATTTGTAATCGACGATGAGATTGTTTTGTTTATTCTGGTGAAGAATAACCCTTGGAGCTTGGGTCGTCCAAAAAGTTTATTGGTCGGCCCAGGGTTAGTAATGGATGATTGGATTCATGGATTGCTTAAATAACAAGGAACTTTGAAGAGAGAGAGAGAAAAGATGAAAAGATTAGTGGAGGATTAACGATTAACAGAGTCATTATTAGGTAACCATTCATTTTTTTACAACTCTCATGTTTGTTTTCTTGCAAAAACCAATTATAGTTTAGCTGGTTTTTGTTGTTTCTTTTTTGTTGTATCCTTCTTTTGTGGAATACATATTCGGTTATTTTTGTCCTTTTAAACCTGAGATTGCCTTTAAATGTTATTTATGATTTTTTCGGTTTTATTATAAAACTAGGTTAGGACCCGCGCCTTGCGCGGAATGAATATTATTTATTTTTACATATTATAAAATAATATATATATATTGATAATAAAAATATAGTAACTATTACATATATAATTAAATTGGTATAAACATATAAATATTTTTATTAATTTAAACAGATTTTTTTTCTATTTTGTATGATATATAATTAAGTTTAAATGATATTATCGTAGAAATATAATAAAATTTTTAATATTGATATCGGTTAAATTATATTTTATACTCATATTATTTTTTTGTTAATTTTTATATTTTAATAATTAAAATTTTAAATCACTAATATCAAATTTTTTTACGTGGGATGTTTAACACTTTTTAGTAATTTATAATTTAAACATTATGCAAAGTTTAAAAATAAATATTAAGCTGTCAATAGTTGTTCAAAAATTTTATCAAAAAAAATAAATTAGAAATTAAAATACATATATATTTTTATATGGTACATAATTTAGTTTGAACAATATATATATATTAAATGAGACTTCTTACTTATATAATTTTGTAAACATTTCTATTTTGTCATAAAAGAAAATTTAGCCATGGATCACATAAATTTTAATGTGAGACTTTTTAACAACTTTAGTTATTTATAGTCGTTTTAAAAAATTCAAATTATAGCATATACAAAAAATCTAAATTTTTATTATATAGTTAATGTAGTTGTTTAATTTATTTTAATAAGTTAAAATTTAAAAATACACTAATTTTTATCAAAACTTATTATTGATAATCATTAATTGTCATAGATTCTTTATCCATATTTGGCAATTCCGTTATTTTTATTTAAGAAAACAATGAAAAACATTAATATGTATGATTAGTATAATAAAAAACTTATTATATATTCTGATGGACCAACATATTTTTCTAAGGATTCTAAGAATGATTGAAGTGATGACACGTGGCTACAAACAAATGTTGTAATGCTTCTCCTTTAATATATAGGGGATTAATAATTTATAATTTAAACATTATGCAAAGTTTAAAACTAAATATTAAGCTGTCAATAGTTGTTCAA